AACCCCACCCCCCGAGAAGAGCCGAGATTTTTCGGGGGGTGAGGTTTTGTGCACACACACACACACTTCTGTGAACGAACAGAGAAACAGATCCACTCTGGTAGAACATGTTCCTGGTAAACTGCTGCTGGTTCGTTTGTTCAGTCCTAATCGATTCTGGGATCATTTGGTTCAAAGAACTGTTTATATCAAACAGTTCTGACGATGAAAGAAGAAAACGGTTTTCACTGATTCTGTGTTTGACTTTTCTGTGCTTCGCTGTTCTGTGGCGTTGAACGTGGCTCAATCTGAGGTTCTGACTCTGGTACTGTTTGGTAATTGGCGTCCCAACACCCGTCCCTCCCAGGTGTGGATCATCCACAGGGCCGTCCTCTAGTCTTCATGGACTCAGAACAGGGTGGTCAATCACTGTGACGTACCAGTGAAGATGGGACAGAGCTTGGCCCAGCAGGTGATCCCTCCCTCAGACGTGTACTGGCCCAGCGCCACCTCCAGGAAGAAGACAGGTAGACCACCACCAAACAGGAAGATGAAGTATGGAATGAGAAAAGCACCTGGAAGAACAAAAACACACCAGGGTGAAAACTAACCCACAACCCTAACCCCCCCCCCGCGTGTCTTCTACTTACCTCCACCGTTTTTGTAGCAGAGGTACGGGAAGCGCCAGACGTTCCCTAATCCGATGAAGCCTCCGGCCACGGACAGGACAAAGTCCAGTTTACTGGACCACTTCTCCCGCTGGGTCACCTTCCCTTCTGCCTCGTCCTCAGGACGTGTCCCTGGACTCTTCCCCGGTGAAGGTTTCAGGGTGTCTTTGTGAAAGTCCTTCAGACACTGAAGCTTCTCTTTCTGTGCCATGCTGTGGACGGAGACCAGGACAAAGGACACGTTGATGACAATAAGGACCAACAGAGGGAGGGAGGGAGGGAGGGAGGGCGAGAGACACAAAGACACAGAGAGACAGAGAGAGGAGCATTAGGGAGATAAATCTGTCTCCTGATTGCGTTATAGCTCGTAGACATGATAAACAGTAGTGTGCTAATCTGGCTAATCTGCCAGATTACTGTATGAACGTCAATGGGACGGCAGGACAGTGGGGGGGGTGAGGGTCTCTGTATGTCTTTCTGTATCTGCCCTCTGGGGGTGGATTCTCTGCACAGTTGGAGACACATTGTCACTGCAGGAAAAAGGAAGGGAATGTCCAAACACAGTCCACACCACGTCCACCTGCTCTGGACCACCGGGGGGGGGGGGGGGGGGCGGGGGGGAGGAC